TGTTGCTGTTATTAATCTTATTATCGTGCGATAGACACGGGGGTCTCTGATTCACCACACAGTTTCAGCACTAGTACGATCAAGGGGCAACGGACACCGAAGATTGGGAACTCGAAAATGAGTCGCCATATCATTGCTCATCTGTGTACCGCAAAATGTGGTACCAGAACGACGTGACTTATTTGCTGTTGTCGAAATCCGTACTACCCAGTTATATACACATAAACCTTATTCAGATTGCTACAGATTGTTTCTTTATTTGACATTTCTACTTGATTCGTCCTTGTAATGCAATGCTATGTTTACTAGCTTTAAGCTGAAGTACATCATCAATTGGTGTATTTGATTCTCTTCGTTCGGAAACTGGCAATGTATAATCGAACGCTCTCGGTCAATAAGCTGCATAATGTGTTTTCCACTAATTAAGAAACACAAAAGGCGGGCGGATGCGAAAGAAAGAAAAAACCGACCGGATCTCCTGACACCGTGATTAAGGAAGACGTTCACCTGTTTTCTCTGTGGGGCCGTAAAGGCTCCAGGCGCTGTCGCAGAACTGCCTCAACGAGCAGATAATTAAAGTCTCAGATACGATGTAACATCAGCTACAACACGGTGAAATCTCATTAATAGGCGTAAATAGAATATATCTGGTTTAGCGTGTTGGCTTGTTTCACGCTTAGCGGGGCAAACTACGAAATGTAACCGATAACTACGAGGAGTGAAGATGAGCACATTTTGGATTTACCCTTATATCGCGGAATATTCTCGTGACCGGGCGCTGATTATCTCATTTATACTGTATAGAGAAGGACGCCGCTGAGTACACGAGAAGCCGGAAAGCTTTAAAAAAGACGCTTGAACACATCAAGTCCTATGTCTGTTATTGGTTTCGGGCGTGCCTGAGACGATTATGTGAGCTTGTTGGCTTTGCAATACCGGCAGATAGTTCCGAAATACTCGGCCAATCGACTCCCGTAGATGCGTACGTACGGTGTTGATATCAAGTAAAACTGATTCCGAACTAGTTTACGCCTGCTTCTGAGTTCAATATTGTTAACACGATATAATTATATGAGGTTCCTTGAAAGATTCCACGAATTCATGCATGCGTGTTTGAGGGTTTTTACAAACCCTTTCTAAGTGTCCACGCTGCCATTCGTAGAGTAGGATGATAGTCGTCAGTTGAAATTTTTCGTTGCATGGTAAATGTTCGTGTGCGTTTATTAGGAAACGACACAATGTTCACTCCACTCCGTTCTACTAGTTTACTTAGTCACAACCGCTTGTGAAAAAAGTTTCAGTTATCTGAACTAATTATCTGTTGCTTTGTTCCATAATTCTTGTTGCATGTTTTGCATCTCTTTTCGGGTTTGTAGCTTGGTGCGATATTACTATATTTGTTTCTGCTGCTCGTTCCGAGCGAGGCTTCAACAGCCGTTCTGCCTTTCCACCTTGCAAGCGAATTATAATAGCGACTCAGATCGAGCCCGATAAGTTGGCGCCTCTGGCTCACGAAGTCCTATCATCTCGGCACATTTTTAGCAAAAAAAAACATGCAATATATGCAGAGACATTAGTCGACATTACCGAGCGGGCTAGTGTCAAAAGTCATTTTTTTACGCTTCTGTTCCTTGTCCGATGTTCTGTGTACCTATGTACGTGTGTGCACAACGTTATTCCCTCTTCTTTAGTCTATTCCTATAAAAATTATTAGGAAAGTAATAGTGCGGGCACTCTTTCGCCTTTTTATGGATAACTTCTGGCAAAAGATTTAAAGCCGGAGTTGATGCCACGGGCGTAAATTAAAAATCAAGCAGAAAAGGGCAAGACTTAGGCCGCAGCAGGAAAGGCCATGACCATCAGTGGCATTAGTTGGCATTTTACAAAGCTAGAAGAAATTCGGTCGACATGACTGCTACGTTCAGGTAATTAGAGGTGACGAATGCTGGTTCCAGCTGAGCGCAAGAGTTGGTTTACGATAACGTATGCTTTTTAACAATGGCAAATGGTCTAAGGGAACTTGAAATGGTAACGGGCAACATCCAGCTGAGCAAGCGCCGTAGAAGATGGTAGTAGCCGTTGTGGCGTCCTTAAGCTTGAATGGAATTAATTTTCTATTTGCTTTTTATGTGACTCGTAGCTAGCTGTACGGTTGCTTGTTTAGCTCGGTTGAGTGGCTGCAGAAGCCATTCTGCCGATATGGCTAAACTCGACAATTTTCTGACTTGCTATTTAATAATTTACTAGTTGCACCAACCGGTAACATTATTAGTGGACACAGGGTAAACGGACGCCACTTCAAATTTAGTATACGTCGACGCCAGCAGGATACTTTTGCTTTTGCTGGTTTTCTGTAATTTAGCAAGCCCTGTTTTGAGAACGAGAACAATAACAACAATAGCAGAAGCAAGCACAGCGCCAAAACGAAAGGCGAGACGACGTTGAACCCCTATGTTAAAATTACCTGACAGCCAAAGCGCAGCGTGCCCTTAGAAATGTGTGACGTGTCCATTCGTCAATTAGCGGGCCCGATGCAAAAGTCACGATCACTAATCGACTAGCGACTACCGGACCCCGCTTTCGTCTCGAAACAATGAACACATAAAGAGAAAGTGTTGCAGGACGTTCAGCGCAATGTTTCTAAACGATTAGTCATACATTGTATTTCGGCCTAACATTGGTAACAGTTCGGCGTGCAATTATAGTAAGAGGTTAGATGAAGCGATGCGGAATTTAATATCAGCAAATTACCGTGGCTCAGTTACCAATTTGGCTCGACCTGGCGGTGTGTATGTAAATGGCGACAGCGATAATGATGATGGCTCTCAGAGTTGAAATAGTTTGTTATCAATCGCCATGCTAGTCAACGTCAACAGTGGTCGACTTTTGACGCCTCAGGAATACCTGCCGCTGCTAGTAGTTTACGGACCCGTAAAAAAGCAGGACACAGACAAGGCTCGGTTCTCTTTGTGCACAGAACTAATAACGTGGAAGCACTAGGCCAGGAATCCACTTTAAGATTCAAGAATCTTAAGAGACATAGCTCTTAGTTATTGTATGGGTGTACGTGAATATCCTTGCTTACTCGAACTCTGTGTATATTCGTGTGTTCATGTGTTTATTCGTTTGTTCTATAGCGATAGGATTGCCTCAGGGTGGAGGCGAGCGGAGGGGAGGACACTGCGCAATCGACACAGGCACGCCAAACAGGCGGGAAAGTTTGAAAAACTCATCGAGAGTGCGCACACACCCACTCTCATACATAGATAGGTCCGCTGATGGAGCGAGAAAGAGTAAACTACAAAAAGAAAAAGGGAAGCAACGAATGAAAGAAGCCGAAACTAGGGTAAACGATGGCTGGCGGTGAATAACGAGCAAGTCGTAGATGGTCGCGGCGACGAAGCGGCAGGACGATCAGTTGGCAGCACGAACGAACAACAGATCTGTACGTAGCTGTAGAGATGGTAGATGGCGAATGGCCGTGGATGGTGAAGTTCGTGGCAGGTGAAACCCTTTGGTAGCAACGACAGCAGAAGCTGAGTTTGCTGGCAGCATTCAGCAGCAGCAGCAGCAAATCGCGCTGCTAACGTCTGCGAGGGGCCGCCAATGACTGTTATCATATAGCAGTAGCAGCCGGAGTAAGAGAACGAGCGGCGTGTAGTAACAGAAAAGCGGCAGACCAAGAATGCCGATAAAACTAATATCGAGGGAGAAAGGGGGGCATTTTGCGCGTTTCCCAGCCATTAGTGCTGAGGGCTACCTGTGACTGAAAGACCACGCATCGGTCCGATGGCTAGCTGAAGGTTTTGACCGTCTGTTTGACGTATATTGATGCCACGAACAGACGGACAAGCTGCTCTGTGCCGTAATTGGCATTGGGCTTCATCTTCATCAACGCTGCCGCTTTCTTCGATGGCGCCCTGTTGCTGCCGGTATCCGCTTCTCCGAAACGGCAAAAATTGAAACAGGGCAAAAAAGCAGGAGACACTTTGAAGGGCCTCTCTCGGAATGTTTGACATAAGCGATGGCTACGACTATACATAATGATGATGATAATGACAATTTCTTTAGCTAGAGACCGTCCAAGTGATCCCCTCACACATTTTTATACCTTCATCAATTGGTTTACTGTTCGCTAGTGAGAAAGGTTTGAGTTTGGGTTTGATAGTGAGACCTGAACCCGCGCAAATGCTAATTGTGCAAAGCGGCCAATGCATTTCTGCTCTTCAGAGGCTATTTTCTAAATTCGAGATTCAGTTCACTTAATGTAGAAATTACGATGGACATAATATCCCCATGCTCAAGCAGATCTCACCATAACAGCTGTGTCGGTGTATAGCGGCAAGAAATATAAAGAAATTTTTGTTATCTTCAGAACAAGTTTGTTTACAGACAGCAATTCACAAATCAGTTACTCGAAATTTTGAGAGATTAGCCAGTGTTTTGATAGCCATTAGAAGCTGTTCTGCTTGATACTTGATATTTACATTTGCGCGCTTTTTTTTCGAATTTTGATTAGAATTACGCGTATCGTCATAGATCTAAATGTTTCAAGTCCTTGGCTATACAGCATTGACGTATGGCTGTATAGCCGAATTATACACGTGAATATATAGTTATTCTCTACCTTTTAATAAGACCTGCTATTGCCTAGTTTGAAATGTAGACGAAGTTCCCATTTTACTGATAAGAATATAATTTGGAACGGTTATTAAACGAACATTCGGGTTGGAAATGTATCGCTTGCGACAAGCCTCAGGACCAGCTTCTGAAAGGTAATGCTAGCCTTCTCATGTGAAACCGGACTTTAGTTAAGCTGTTTGTATGGTGGGCTGTGGGTAATTTGCAGCGACTGCGAGAAAGATCTTTTCTTTATGAAGACTTTGTCGTAACATTGTATTGTACCGGCTTGGCTATACCAGCTATTGTTATTGTAGTCGCGATTTGCTCTCTATGCCAGCAGCCCAGTTGCTGTTCTAATGTGAAATATGTATACGTACGCACTCTGGTGACACCAAGTAACACGTTGGTGATGTACAAACGGGGATAGAGTTGCCATTGTTACCGCTTAGCGTAATATTGCTACTGCCGTTGTTGATGATGATGATCACGATGATATCTTCTGGGTTGCGTAGTACGATTGGTCATTCTGGGGGCTGGAAACGTTGACGTTTGTTGTTATTACTACCAGCGCCAGCGGTAGCACCAATCAGAATGGCCCGGTTGTTGCGGTCGCTGGGCGGCATATGGATGCGTCGAGCTAAACCCACAAACAAGGCACTGTAACAATCGAGTTGCAACGGCAACAGCTGCTGCTGCTGCTGCTGCTGCTGTTCGTGTTCTCTCGCGCCATCTTTTGTCTCGTTGTTGTGGTGGTTACATAAATGCACACAGACACATACACATATATTTAGTAGAGGAATTCCTTAAGCGGACTTGCCAAAAGCGCAACGTTACTCAGTTTGTTGTGCCGGGTCAGACGTGAGAGTGGTGCAAGTGGTCAGTCACTCAAGTCATTATTGCAATTGTGGCCCTGATTATCCGTTGCGGGCCAAATGCTGAAGCAACTGTCGTCGTGATCCGCATTGTCGTTGCTGTTAAAGCGTGACCCACTTTCGATCTGTAAAATTACTATAAAATCATTTACGACAAAGAAGCCCTAAGACTCGAGTGGTATTATTTAAAGACCACTTGATAATATAGTAATTTAAACAGGAAACTGCTGAAATTTTTCTTTCATGATCACTATTGGTTGTCCAATAGTCCAATTGGCCCGTGGGAGGCATGAGACGTCAATAAGGTTTCATTGATCATCAAAGGTAGCATTAGTCTTGGCAAGAATATTGTTTAAACGGCAACATTGGTATTTATTTAAGTTCGCCATTCCACGTTAGTGCGTTTTGACTTGAGTGGTACACACAAAAGGTAGCTTGCCCAACAATATACAAAAATCTAGCGAGCTGGATCTGAGCAGTTACCTCAATAATCTACCTCGTTAGATCTATATCCGAACTATATCTATCAGATAATTGAAAAAAAAAAAAAATATGTATATATGAGCAAGTTAAAGGGCCATTCAGTTTTTTCTTTTATACTTTATATAGTGGATTATCATAGTGCATGGCATTGTGTGATCATGGCATTTACAAAAATGTGCCCAAAAATTCTAGTTAGCTTTTTATTATCTTGTTGTCAAAATACTTGGTTTCACCTGTAACAAGCAAACCCGGATAGCATCTCGTGTGACGACTACCATCATAATTTATTTGTTTGTTCATTTACTTGCTTACTTAAAATGCTACTTATTGTCATATATAAGCATATGGGATAGTGGTATTTTTATAAAGAATTAGGTCTAGCTGCAAAACTTAAAAAAAAACTGCAGATTAGAAATCCTAGCAAACATTTTCGCATCCCTCTTCCTGTCAGAAGAAAGTTTCGTTTAATTGACTTGAAAGGACTTTTGGCTGAGATTCTCTGAATTGACGTGTACGATAGTTAAGGCTACTACAATAGCAATATATGCTGAATATTCTAATAAACGCATATAATAATGGCCACGACACAGTATTCAGGCCAAAAATATTTATCAACTTGGATCCTTATAGACTATCACTACTAAATTAGATTTCAGTATGAATTTTAAATGACTGTCGAATTTTTCCAACGTTTGATTTCGTTGTCTCGGAGGAACCTCGCCTTCACCTGCACCTACCTATTCGCTGAGCCGTTTCGTGAGTACCCGACCCTTGACAATTATACAGAGCGCTACTGTTGCTGCTGCTGCTGCTGAGCGTACTCGAACATTATTGTCTAAATAAAAATGGCCGAAGTCATTCTGGCGGGCGACCGCTGTTTAGCTAGCGCAAGCGATCGTCTAGCAGAAGGCCATTTTGCAGCGTCAAACGCAGACAACGTGCGACAAAGCCTACTGTCGGCATTTAGTTCCCGACTTGGTAATATCTAACCCACTTGTTGTAGCATTTTCAACTAATGCTTGTTTTTGTTTATTTAGTTAGATGTGTTTCCGTTTTGCGATTGTCTGAGTGCTGTCAAAGTGAGCATTAGATGTCGTCTGATACCGCAGCGAAGATTGCAAAGTTGGGATTGAAAAGGGAATACTGTTTTTTTGCTTATATACCCTCCCGGAAACGTATCATGTCTTCTTCGTCATTTTGTTTTGTTGTTTGCTCTCGTCATAGGTGGTTTACAATGGTAAGAGCTCCGTTCATTGCTCCTGTTACCTAGGGGACGATATGTTAACGTGACTGTGATTAAGCTACGATATATTTTGCATTTCGTTCCGCCGTGGTCAGATGCTAAGCTTTTTTAAACCTGTGTTAATAGACCGAAAAAGGAAAAATTTAACTAAAAAAATTAGCGTTCCATTGAAGGGCTGGCAACTTACAAAATGGCCAAGGTAGCTTTGCACGACAGCTGATGATGGTGCACTCTTTTGGAATTAATGTAGGTCGATTTGATTTCTATTAGTTTGTGGTTGCAGTTAAACAATATAAGGCTAATCATTAGCAAATGGGGATTAGGGCAAAACAGGATAGTTAGTTACTCTTTAAAAAAATCTTCTGAATTTAATAAAGGCTTCCGGTTTTAGATTATTTTTTTCAAAAATATATCGTAATAGGTCTGTTTTATTCATTGTTAGGTCACAATAGACTATAATGTTCCATAGCTGCTCTACTCTTTTTTCATCAACTCTTCAGTCCGAGCTTGCTTTCAATTGTATTCACCGCGCCTACTCGAGGAATGACATCCGTTGGTTTGCAAATAAATCATAAATATAGAAGAAAAAACTGTTTTTGATCATTGGCTTGATGTCTGTTATTACTGTTTCATACGTAGACTTGATGCGATTGTTTTTATCTTAACAAAAATGCAGTCATTCTGTTCCGTTCACATTGGTCAGTTTCAAAAGCTATTGAAACAAATTATCTATAATACGATTCTGTTTATATGTTTTCTTCTATTTTTTTACAGACTAACAAAACCTCAGTCCTTTGCGGACTGCATAGGTGACGAGTTGCCATGTGGATGGGATCAGCGTTACGACCCTCGTGTCGGAATCTACTTCGTTGACCACGAAGCTCGTATGTAATCCCTAGATTAAATCGGCCATGCGATTTTTCAGATTTGCACACATCGAGTATCAAATACAACCCACATGCTGTGTATGTCCATTGGTCTGACATATCACGAGCTTGTAAAATCTCTCTGTCTCTCGCTGTAAGTCATATACTGTACTTTTTAGAGATCTATATTTCATCACTAATAAATACCTTAATGTGCCGTTTGTGTTCACAGAACGGAATCAAATCGAGGATCCGAGGCTACAGTGGCGACAGCTCCAAGAGGCTATGCTCAAGGAGTACCTGCTGACTGCACAAGAGGACGTTGTAGCTAAGAAAGAAATGCTCGAAGTGAAAAACCAGCGGCTGGCGATAGCCCAGGATGAATACATATACTTGAGTTCGCGGTTAAACAATTTGCTGCAAGCCGCATCGTCCACCAATTTGGCGGCGTCAAGCTGCACTTCACTGAATTCAGTTGCATCAAATGCACCCAGCTTAACTAAATTCGACCCTGATCTATTAAAAGCTGATGTAAGCTTGGCTCGTCAGAGAGTTAACCGTCTTAAGGCAGAACTTGAGCGGATTCGAAGCGACCTCACTCAGAAAGAGCGAGGTCTTGAAGTCCTGGCAAGCATTGACGAACGCCTAGTCAGCAGCGGTAGCATGTACACTTCAGACGAAGCCCGGCTGATCGTCGAAGAGCTGGTTAACATTCAGAAAAGCCTGTCCAGTGGCGAAAAAGAAAAGGAACAACTAATGAGCAATCTTTCGAAGCTTCGAGAAGAGCTTTTACGAATTTCGCAGACGAATAGCAATGGCGACGAAAAGTTTTCCAGCGTCGAAATTCAGACTGAGCTAAGTGGAGAAGAGCCAACCTTAGGTGCTCGTTTGGCCGAAATGGCACGCATGCGTTTGAATTATGACGCTGCGCGCAAGGAGGTCAACCGAATTCAGCTCGAGATCGCTGGATTAGAGAACCTGATGGCTCCTGGTAAAGCGGAAAGCGATCACGATCGATTGCTTCTTATCCAGGAGAAGGAGCAGTTACTGCGTGAGCTTCGTTCTTGCAGTAACAGCAGCAAACGTGATGAAAATGAAAACGAGATTAAGAAGCTCACATCAGAGTTGGGCTGGGCCATTGAGAGCTCAAATCGGGCAATATCCGATCGCCTAAAACTGCACGAAAAGAAGACAAAGTTGCTGCAAGAACTAAGCGATGCGATGCGACAAGTAGCCGCTCTCGAGGGCCGTCTAAAGTCTCTTTCTGCGTCGACCCTTTCAATGAGTTCTAGTTCAAGTATAGGCTCTTTATCTAGTAAAGAGGGCTCAGCTTCGAACCTAAGCTACACCGACATTTACGGCTTACCGTATACGAATGACAGTATCGCGACGAGTCTGCAAGACCTGCATAGAAGAGTAATGACCGTTGACAGTGTGACAACAAAGATCAGTGACCTCAAGGTTCGGGAGCAGCTAACGCCCATCATTGAAACCCCGCGGGTGTCGGTCAGTGCTGCCGCGTCAGACGAATCGTTCGCTGGTGACTCAGGCGTGTTTGAAGCTAATAATCAGAGTTCTCCTGAAGCAGAGACCCAGAACACGACACTCGACACACCACAGATCCAAGTAAAGCTATGGTTCTCTTCAGAGGATGAGATCCTACTAGTTGGTATCGAGAAAGCTCATAATCTAGCTGCGCTTGGGGTACCCGTCGGCTTCCGTGTATTCATCAAGGTAGCACTGTATCCCTCCTCCGAGGATACTTGCTTAACTTGTAAGACGGATCTAATTCGTGATCTTATTAAGCCCGCCATCATCGGCGAGATCTTTCAATTTCCAATTACCCTAAAACGAATCCAGACTCAAACCGTTCAGGTAAATATCTGGGGTATCGGGCCTCTCAGCCAAGAAGAGTGCCTTGGCTGTGCGCAAGTGTCTCTTGCCGATTTCAACCCTACGTCATCCAGTTTGAAGTGGTACAACATCTTGAGCTTTCGTTTCTTGTCGCAAACAGTCGGTCAATCGATGCCAGATATGGTAGAGAGTTCCGATGAGAGTACCATCATTTCTTCACAAACGTCCACACTTACGAGAGTTGAAGAACAACCAACAAAAACTATTGTCGAAATCACTGCTGTCCCACAGGTAAAAACAGCGGCTACGAACACCGACTGCGCCTACCAGACGGCTGCGAAAAAGGTCAGTATCTTCCTGAAAGTCCAAACAAATACTTTGACACATATATGTCGAATGATTCGAATTTTTACGGTAGTAAACAGACTGATGAGACTATATTTATAGAATCTAGACTAAATGTGCACTGTACGGGCCGTCAACTTATCATAATGGTTCATTCTGTTTGCTGACCTTGCATCCCTGTAGCTGGATCCGTCAAACTCAGCTGACCAGCTTCTACTACAGGCCCTTAAACGATCACAGACATTCACCATCAACCGTCATCGCATCATGTGCCGACTCAACCGAAGTGACTCAGACAGTGCTATGCCTCTCTACAGTCGGAAGTGTCCTGTGTTTCTCCGCAACTCCATGGAGCGTCGTAGTCAGCGGTGGAAGAAAAACGGTCAGCAATCAGGTGATAAGACTGTCAAGCAGTCTGTAGTTGAAAAGAAAATGCCTGCAGATGCATCGCGTACATCGATTGATCTTGCTCTGGATCTGCACGCTTCCAAGGCACGCCTTACTGCCCTCAACGACGACTTGTCTAAGCTGAAGGAATTGCAGACACTTCTTGAGGAGTCGAAGCAACGTGGTGAAGCACCCGAGTGGCTTCAGGAGGAGGGCATGCAGCGACTTCTTGGGTACGACGAAAATCAGGCTCGACTTGTACAGAAGACCTCCCGCAATATTTATCGTCTTCGTAGAAGTCTCAGTCGAGATGAGCCAGCGAACCTCGCTATGTTCAAGTGAGTCTAGGGGAGTAAACTAGTAATATTTATGCTTGTTGTAATACCCTGAAAATATGCACATTTCACCTTTTGAAGTAATTATCTAAGTGGATATAGGTGAAACGCCTTTTCTTATCAACGTAATGCTTACTTGTTTTTATACGACGAATTACACTGTCGTTTCAGGGAAAAAATGGCTTTCTTTACAAGGCCTTCAACGAGCAACGTTCCTGCACTGGCTCCGTCGTCCATTTCGCTTTTCCCGGGCGAGAATAAGACAACTCCTCGATTTGAATACACAGTTGACCCTATCTACGGTGTGCAAGTATAGCTAGACGAGTTTATGAGAACTACCGAGCGTCAGAGACCAGATTCATGAAGAGGATATAGAGGGACCAAACCGTTTTCCATAGAAGACGAAGTCAAAAAAATACGGGAGATATATATTTGTTTGTATATAGCGCGCTCCGGTAGGCCATTTGTAAGTGCCAACCGACAATGGTTTGAATGCTGTGCGTCCAAACAGTTAGGGCACCGGGGACCTTTTCCCAGGAGAAACGTCAAAGTTCTGAAATGAAGATCGCACATACACATTTATTATATTAAAGACAGACGGACACTAACGGTGAATATGTCAATAATGATAAGCATGATGATGACGACGATTATGAAGCAGTGTTCTGATCTGACTAAACGGGTCAGTGCGGGACCAATATATCGCGAAGCGTGCTCATCACTAATCGGCCAATTGAAAGTGGGAATAGAAGTGAAATTTGGACAGGAAACTCATGCTCCTTTGAGATCTCGAAATCCATTTGAAGTACTAAATGAAGAGTCAAATAAGAATGATTGAGTTTGATTGACTGACGAGAGGCGATGATCGATCGAATTAACGAAACAATGTTTCGTGAATGCAACGCAATAATAATTGAGTAATTTCGTCTGGAGCTAACACAGCTGTCGAAGTTTGTGTCTTGTTGAGTGCAATTCAAAGAACGAAAGGAAAACAGGAGAGTGTTTGAAAGCTAATCACTGTGCACGTGTACGGGTTAAACGAAGAAAGATAAGAGGAGCGAGGGCGGTCCCGCAGGCGGGATCGTTCTGGGCATTACTTCGGGATAAGGTACCTAGGTCACGTGATACTTCTATGAATCGGCATCCCTGTTAGGAGGCAGCGCTGTAACGTAGAGATTCATCAGTTAGCAGTTTTTAGTTTATTCCACAATGAATTTTCAGTTATATTACTTTGTTCCAACATAGACACCAATGATAGTAGTGGAGTCAGCAAGCTACCTGAAAAAAACTATGACTTTTCTTTGGTGTAAGCATTTATCTAATGGAAATTGAGGTCCTTGACCATTAGTGCTTGCAAATTACGTAGCCCCGATCGCGATAACAAATCGTAATAGGGTATTGCAAGCATCGTAGTGTAAACTAATTATCTCTATGCTACTTGAGCAGCTGTAAACAGGTTTATGAAGTAAAGGCACTCGTTTGACCTTCTATGAGTACCGAACACCCTGAACGCCCAAGGCCAACGGTTATACCTGTGATAATGCCCCGCCCGCAAGGAGTCCTTCAAGGATCCGAGTTGGTCGCTATACTCAGTTGCGCCTTGGCTTTCGCCGGCTCGCTCGCTTGTTCGGAACTTCGAAATCGAAGCAACAAAAAACGCAGCCCCTGATAAAGCAGGCGGCTGAAAATACACGGAGAGAGAGAGAGAGAGAGAGAGAGAGAGAGAGAGAGGAAGAGAAGAATCTGCCGTTAGGGTAAACCTAATTTTTGAGCTCCTTAGTACCTTTGGTATCTAAACCAGTGTAAGCATATCGTTTAAGGTTTACCTTATCTCGTGCCCTCTAGTCAAAAAGCAAGTCTTACAAATTGCTACGCGTATTTATTAGTCAAGTAAATATACTTAATAATTATACGACTGATGGTAATAATCATACTAATTACTAATAAATATCTAGAGGGATATTCTATGAGTGAATACAATAGTTGAAACTCTATCTAGATAAAAGATAATAAAAATGAGTGGTAACGAAGATGATGAGCAAACGAAGCGAGTGAAAGACCCAAGCAGTAGCAACGTTTGATACGCGGATAAGCGGATTTCAATTTGGCTATACGTCCTTTTTTGATTTGGAACTTTGTGTTCTGGCGGACTTAAATAACCGGATTTCCCTTATAACATCGCCCGCTACTAAAGACTAATTAAAAGTGGTTAACGCGCAGTAAACGGCGCGACTCTTATTACTAATTTATTAATTCGGCATAACCGTATTCGATATATTGTGTAGCACCTCCAAACGTCAATTACCCTTTTGCTATTCAGATCTTGAACCTCGTCTGTCAATTCTATATAATGAAATTCGTCTAATAACTTCTTATCGAGGCATATTTTTCTGCGTCTTGATAATTATACTTAGAAGTTCTGTAGAACAAGTACCACATGTCCGGCTCTGGATGTCATGACAGCAATAGAATCGAGCACAACTCATTAAAGCCTGAATAATGTAGAGCGCGGAATCATTTTCTTGGCGTCTTCCGCAGACCTCAGGTAATAGAACAATGGTCAAAAAATATGCAGTACCTGAGATCCCCTCCATGTTTCACGTCCTAAGCCCACAGAATTCATTGGACTTATTCTACGCCCCACTTTCCTCCCGGAACACTGACCGTCGAAACCCCTATGACGTAAACTTCAACAAGAGCAACAGGCCACAATTCCTTAATTGGATGAACGCTTGCCGTTAATACGACAATGCAATACGACATAAAACGATTTGTTATAATTCTCATTTCTCTTATTTTAATATTATATTGTAATAGCTATTTCTATATAAGTATTGTATTATTATAAACAGAATCGACACAGAGCTAAACGTAGCCCTTTCCCATACAAAGAACCCGTAAGTAGCACATATTATAAGGATCCGCTATTAGTTCATTGCGTGTTTGAAAAATATTATCGAAATAGAAAAATAAAATCATTCAAAACGAACCAATGGAATAAAATGGGTAGCAAAAGTGAAGGGTGACTACTAGCAGGGTCAGAATGATTTTAGAAACACGCAATGGGCTACAATGAGGTTTCGAGGTTCGCCCGCTAAGCCACGACTTAGCCGGTTGAAGTCCGCGCATGAATCAATCAATCAGTCAATTAATGTCAGCAAAAGCAACAGAAACTAGTCGTCCGCAACAAGTTGTCGAGTCATCTTGGAGCCGTTTGCTTGTTCTGAAAAATAATTAGATATGTACGTGGCAACTTCAGGTTTAACCGGTTACGCTTGAATAAAAGTTACTTGTGGCGCTACAGCGTCAAGGTTGCCACTTTATTGCTTATCGGTGGTAGTAAATTTCGAAACTCCTAAATGGCTCGCAATTTCTCAGGACACATCTGTCACAATAAAAACTGATGAAAACGTACACCATTGCCAAGTGCAATGGTGTCGTTAGAATCTGTGCCATTGTACATAGTCAATAAAGAAGAAGAAAAGAAACATGGTTTTTGATGAGCGAGTCTCGACAACATAGTTACTGATATGAAGTTGTTGGGAGTAATTAATACACGACAGAATTACGCCTCCTCTACGAATCGAGATATGCACAAACCCTTTGACCCTCAATCACTCTATCAGTGTCTTTAAAAATGATGACCGATTTACACATCAAAATACAAAAGAAGAGAGAACAAACGCCATTTATATTTTTCTATTTCGTAGTTCACGTATTTACTTCTCGAGTTCACAAAATTCTGTATGTACATTTTCTATCTAGAGTACCATATATTTTCAATAAGTATATGATCCACGTATTCCGAATTAGCACCGACTTTGGTACTTGTTAAGAGCTGGCATTTTTTCAAGCAGAAGCGATTTAGGCTCCAACATGTTAGCGGTCTTTTGTCTCTCTTCTTTTACACATATATATATATATATATGTTCATTGTAAAATATCATATATTATAGAGAAATAGAAATATCATTCCGTTACGCATCGCCTACTCATTCGCTATTTACCTGTGGCCTTAGGTCACGTAATCAATACGCTCGAGTAGAAATAGATATCTGTTATTATGACTCGACCCTATAGCTGGAAAACTCAAACCGGGTTATGATTAGAACATTTTCATAGAAGCTGCTAATTTCATAGAGCATTTTCAAGAAGCCCCGTTTTGAACTATTTAGCTGTCTAAGCTACATAATTGTTGCACTATGAACTTCATTTCATACCGAAATCATTAGGTAGAATACGCGTAGAAGAGTAAGATTCATTCCTTTTAGCTTTCTCATAAATGTAGTTATTTTTAAACCCCTTTTCAAATAGCATTATAATAATGAAGGTCGACATATCGAGGTTACTGAATTGATTTCAGCCTTCAAATTTATTTTTTATAACTTTGGCTTTGACTTTTTTTTTTGCAAATTTACTGCAAAAGCTGTGTAGGATATATTCACTTCTTATTTAGAGTACACTAATCAGATCCGCGAACATAATCATATTGCACTACATGGCAGAGACGTCCTTACTAGACACGTATATCTACGATCCGAGATTAGATAGCAGACAGCCATTACTTTCTATGTTGAGGTTTCAGGTATATCTTCGAGTGCTGGTAGTCTCATCTTTACTTCGCATCTCTCCCGTTGATGCAACTCGTCAGAACCCACAGACTCATTTCAGTTTGTACAGGACGGGTAGCTTGCCGTGTTTCCGGTATGAAACGTTTGCCGGTGTCTGCGTTTGAAGCTTACTTAGAACTCGACGTTTTTGGCTTAGTTGTGGATAAATATTGATTGCCATTCATTCACTGGCCGTTCTATTAGGTTCAGCAATAAGTTCCTGTACTTTCGGAAAAGTACAGGAACTTAAAAAAGAAAAGAAAAGTTTCCTTTTTCAATTTTTCTTCACTCATTGTTTACCTCTGATAGGTTGTTTGAGAGCGCTGCTTCTGCTCTGTTAGTGTACTGTGGCGGTATTCTGTTGAAATGTGGCTTTACGTTTTAATTGTAACAAGCGTCATGCGGCCCCAATGAGCGGTTTTTGCACAGAATTGTTATTGGTGACGAAAAGTGATGCCTGTCAGTTAGTATGACCAATTGAATGGATATCCCAGGGAAAGCAGCAAACCTAATCTTCATCTGAAACAAATAATACCTTGCATCCAGGGGGGTCCATTTGATGCACTGGAATTATTTCCGATAGATATGGTTATTTGGCCCAGTTAGGTCGAGTCAACTAGATTATTCAAGGGAAGAAACCCGACAAAGGAAGTGAGATTATTTTGTTCATATGGCCATTAAGGCTGCGTTCCTGGGCTTAAAACAGAAGGCTCTGCTGCGTCCTCTGTATTTACTAGATTCGTCGTCTTTTTCACCCATTAGCCAGTCACTTCCGCGCTTTTATCTTTGCCCCGAGTAAGCAACCCAAAACTTTTTCGAAACGAGACCTTTCCAACATAGCTGGACGGAAAGATGGGAAAAAGCTTTGAACAATGACGGGCAATTCACAACAAAACCAACTGTTGCAAGCGATGTGCTCTGTTTCGTAAAAAAAAATAAAAGCTTAATATCTAACCTAGTAATTAACTTGCAGCATATATTTGGATTAGCGTAGTTCCGGATTTAATTAGTGTGTCCTGTGTTACGTTTGAGCGCCACTTCGTTTCGTCTACACCTTTAACGTTTCAAGTTTGTTAGACCCTATTGTTTGTTGCGTACAGGTATATATGTTTATCTACGTAGATTCGTTCATTCTCTACCGATTTGCAAAGAGTTATAAGTTGATTATGAATCATACTCATAATTGGTGATGATTATAACTATTATAAGTTAACTCTAGTGTTTAAGATGCCATATTTCTACCTCCGTTTAGCTAAATATAGGTGAAGCAATCCCATAAACCCGACTCTTTTATATAACCAATTCGATCAAAACTAGGTTTAAAGGAATCCTTAAACTGTGAGATGACGTAAAAGGGGGTAATGAGCTAGGAGACAGTAAACGGTTCCATTTCTCATCTACAACTTGACAAATTGCACATTGTGAACATACACTAAAATCATATTTGGACCTGTCTTGCAAGTGTTCTTACCGTTTATAATGCGAAAGAACCTACGCTTCCCTAAGATGAAACGTTATAGAAGTTGGGCTTTGCAGTACAGGACGTCTTTGAATGTGTACTCAGGATTGAGTTAATCCTCTCTATAAGGGTACTTACTGTATTGATAATTATACATTGATCAAGCAAGCAGAAAAGCTAGGATTGTTCAGAAATAGTCAACAATACGACTAGAAGTTATACAAAACTCGTTGTCAAAAACATTTCGCCGATGGCTTTTGCAGTATCTGCACAAACGATAATTCTATGAAGAAATATTCAGATTTTTTTATTATTAATTTTATTATTGAATAAAAAAAAACAGCTTACACAAGAAGCATAATGCGCTCGTTTGTACAGTCAAACGCAGAAACTCAACAGATCATCATAAGAGCTGAATTTTTGCTATTCTCACTTCGTTAATTGCAGTGCTTTCCCGACACATCTTTCCATAGGAGATTGTGTGCCTTATTGAAGTATCGATTTCTAAGCTCCTTGAAAAACACTATTCGACTCTGAACAAAAATTAAGGGACTACTGACATTTCTATATGTTAACCGTATATCAAGTCAAACATTTTTACAGATGGCGCGCAAATCGCGTACACATTCAGACTAGCTATTGACGGTGAACTGTTCCCATCGACTTCGTCCAGTGGGATTCCTCTCAAAAAATCTGAACGCCGCCATATTTGCATTTCAAAACAGTATCCTCTACATGATTTTCCTATTTTTAATGCAGATAAATACAAATAATAATCATTTGAGAGAAGCACAGCGCTCTTGGCTTGGATTGGATATCTTACTACACTGAATACCGTTTGGAGTTTTATGCGTAGAAAGCAGAATCAGGTCGGTTTACGTTAAACATCGACCGGATACGCATAACTTTCTAACGTTATAGGCGTTTATAGCACTGGGGTGGACTCTGAACACGACGAGACGCTGCGAAAAAGAAACACGTTCCATTGTGTCATATACTCAGTGAAGTTCCTGTAAGCAGCAATTGTTTGTCTTAGTAAAATATTATAAACGATTATTGCGAATTTTGTCTAGTGTTTGTCGATCCGCTTTCGCAGACTAGTAGCTATAAATTCGGATGTGTCTTAGGGCGTTGCTGGTCGTACGCACATATTGATCGCGTATTTATTGTTTATCACGGTTCCTTCACTAAATAAAAGTCATTGTTTGTTGATTGTGATATTAGCTATAAATCAATGGGTACAACAATCCAATCTCCTGTTTAAATATACGTAAAGACACAAATAACTGCATGTCCTTGAAGCATCTCAATTACTTTTTTTTTTAGCTTTTCAGCGTTGGCCTGCAGAACTAATCGCTTCGTGCTATAATTTGCGTCAATGAAGTTTCATTGCAAAATGCTTACGGCTTGGAACCTAAAGTCGGCCTTTATGAACCCCATAAATATGATGTAGTGCTTGCGTCAAGTCACCTGTAACCGTAAAAGTAGAACTGACAAATGACTCCTACCTATCCCACTAGTAAAGAAGCATCATGTCCACTTGACAACGCGTTTACCCTAGATATGTCAATGGTTTTTATGTATTTGGAACGTAAAATTAACCCAAGCTACTACCAACACCGTTAACTTTCTGTAATGTAAGCAACTTTAAAAAAGGTAACCATGACACACAATACCGAAAAGCAATTAGATTCTGGTTGACCATTACTTGTATTGAATTTACTACCAAGTGGAAATAAATTGAATAGGTCGGCAACCCACAACGCTATACATGCGTGATCATTGATAGAACTGTATAACAAAATAATTAACCGATTTATTATTTTTTTACCGAAACTCTGTAGTACCCTATCGAGAAACAGTGATCACCAAATTTATGCAAACCGTAGGGGTTTGCCATGACGTAAGCGATGACGCAGCTCAAAGAAGCGTTAGGTTAAGGTTTCGGTCGAGTGCGTCGACGACACCACATGTTAGTTATAAACTTTCACACGACGTCATCTTCTTCGTAGTTGTACCGAACTGCTAATAATTAAGAGTGTTTGCTTTTCTACTAATATATGTGTTGTATAGGGTATTAAGACTTGAAAAAACAGTGCGATTTTTTCCTGTTAACTATATATATATATATATATAAATTTTCCGATTGCTTAACTTATTTGAACTCTTTATTCTCTTGCCGCTAATAGGGGTATACGATGCGCTGAATAGCCCAGTCGATGGTGGCGGGATGACTTAAGTGCCGAAGTAAGATCCTTAATGAGATCTTTATCTGATTATCCAGGTTCCTATATTTGTTTAGTGCACGGTTAAGTTGCAACGTCATTACACTTTTTACTTTT